GAAAGTTGCGGACAAGTTGCTGCGGACACACACACACACACAAACACACACACACACAGACAACCCTGTAACAATATGCGTTTTGTACTGCTGTCACACAGCACAAAACGCATAAAAATTGCCTTAGTCTAGACCGGAAATTAAAAATCAAGCTACTGTAAAGCTTGCTTATTGCATGGTTATTGATAACGCATTATTGGTGACAAATTTTTTTATACCCACCCCCGCCGTCTCTCTTTTTTCTTCGTCCTTCATCTTCCCCAGACAATCTATATGTTCTTTTTCACATGGCGAAATGAGGCACTGCACTGATGATTCGCACCCCCTTTCTTACCGATCCTTGCTTACAGCTTAGTGGTATGTTATGAAAACACGGAGAGGCCACCAAATCATAGCAAATACAGGCTTGCCTATATGCAAGACCTAAATGTCACTTCTGGGTGTTTTCATTAAATTATCAAAATTCGACTATTAGTTTTTCTCTGTTGCGAGCGTGCTATGCTAAACCAGCTGCAAATGTGAATACACATACGATTTCAAGCTCTCCTTCCTCCTCCAGTCTGCAGATCATAGATGTCTACTGTTTACATCTCTAAAATTTCTACAACACGTCTGTTATCAGGTTATATAATTTCGGCTTGAAATCCAGAAGCTTTGGTTAAGGATACAGAAATGTGCGTCTTCAAAGAAGGCCGAGGACTACGTTCCTAAAGTTTCAGCTTCTTTGTTTTCTTTGGCTTGGAGGTTCAACTGTGCGGACAAAAGCAGAACTGTACGTATAGTTTTGTGCATCATCAGTTGTACACTAAAACGCATAAACAATCGAAAATGCAAACTTGATTCGAAGCATAAGCAGTAGCATTTGAGATGACGGTGAGCAGTGGCAGAAGCATGTCCGATGATATGTCGATGCATTTTAGGGCTGTACATAGATATTTCGCCTCAGATGGTTTTATCAATTTCTAAAATTAACTGATATTGTTTTAGCTAATTCTCCAAAGAAAGCTTAGTGTTTATATGCAAGCGAAGCGAACCAAACCTGAGTACGATAGAGCTTGCTGATAAGCGATTTCAGCTCACTACTGCTCGAAAAGAAGTTTGCCGATGGATTAACGGTAATACGCCACTGCAACGGATTGTGTTCACCTTCATCTGGATCTTTTTGTGGCAAACTCTGGAATTATTATCGTTCGTGACTTTTGAAACATTTGTAATACAATAATCCATACCAAGCATATTCCTTATCCTCAGGAAAGCGCAGAAAATTAAATGTATTTCTTCCGTGCTAGCACTTCTATCAAAAAACAATTCATCACTCATAAGCAAGATCGTTCTCTATTCCTTCCGCGCCCCTGTCCTTTTCGTTTCCTCATCGCTTTTGTCCTCCATTCACGAAAGTTACGTGAGACAAGACAAAAGAAATTCGAGTTTCTGAGAAGAGCTGGGGTATTTGTAACACCAGTTTAAGTCTAGAGCCTGAGGTAAATTTCCTAGCTCTAAGTACGCGCCCTTAAAAACCAAAGCAGGTGCAGGGAAGCAACGCAGGCAAAAATTTTTGAACCATTTTTATACTTTTCGTGTAAAATAAACAGCGCTAAAACTTGAGTGCCCAAGTATTATTTGCAGTCTCAGAGCACATAACATTCAAATTTCGAATAATATGTTGAACATGTATTTTACAATATAAAATAAAATATTGACTTGGGGACGATTTCGCAAGCAAAAAAGCCGTCACGTATACGAGAATATGTACACTACTTGTACACAACGAGAATAAATCCAAAGTATTCGGATTTTACAGGTGTTTTGCATGCATTCATGCGTAAGGATTATGCACAAGGATTACGTACGTGTGTCTACGGATAATCTCGTCAGACTGTGGTTACTTTGCTTTGGCCACTTCTGTATAATACTTGTTGAAGTTTCTGAGAAGCATATTAGGCTACGTGTATCTGCATTTGTCCATCTAGTTGTTCGTCTGTTTAGATAATTTAACTTCAAAACTGCAAAAATCCAGATAATCACAAGCTCTGTGTTTGAGACTACTTATTCGATGAGAACATTCAGTCTGCTCTGAATCCCTTTTCAAAAGTCACGAGTGCAGAATTTGGCTGGTTTTGCCAATCGATAACGACAAGTTATACAGGCGAATTTCCAAAATTTCCACGCTGACAATGTGGAATGGGTGATTTCGAAGTTTTTGAAATTTAATTTAAGCCAACCTTTGACCTCAAAGTTTCTTGTTGACGTTCAGTGAAAAGAACTGCTGGCAGATCTGACCGCTTAAATGATCCTGTGGCCTATGTGGTGTTTGCAAACTATGACTTGGTCATTCTCGAAAAAGCTATATTTGACAGATCGATTAGAGACTGGGCGCAGTGCGAAGTGTATAATTTCAAGCTGAAATTCGCCTTATTCCTATCCCAAGCTTTCAGTGTTTTCCATCTGGAATTTTTAACCACACTCTGTTCCTGAAGTCGCAAGAACGGAGTGAACTGTAGAAGTAGAACTAGCTTCCTGTCCCAGCAGAGACTGGTAACCTTTGTTTAGGGTGTATTTCAGCAAAACTTTCATTCATAAGGCAAAAGCCGTTAAGCTGTTTTTCATTTGGTGTCGAAACAATCATCATATACAGGATTCATTTCCGTAAATTCTGTTGTTAAGCATTCTTCTGGTGATTTCTATTGCTATACCGGACAAAGTTAAAAATTAAAGTATGAAAAAAAGCGACAAAACCTGGAAGCTTCCAAGTCGTGGTGAAGCAATTTCAACAACGAAGGCGGACTGCTGCTGGCCCATTTGACACGACTATTGATTCCCATCAACAGGACAGGGGCTGTTGTTATGTGCCTGCTATCTTCAAAAGGGCTTTCTTCACGAGGCTCCAGCCTAGCCGGGCTTATCCCACCCCATTTCAGCCTCCTGTCCTCCGCCTGGCCTATCAAGACGTGATAAGATGTGGGTGCGGTTGCTAATGCTACGTGCGACTAGCACTTGTCTAGCACACATCC